CTTTTCCATAACAATTATTCTACAGGTCAGAGATTGAAGTCTAAGTTTAGGGCTCATTTTCCTTAATTTTTTCACTATATATATATTATTCTTTCATTAATAATCCATTTCATTGAATCACTTGAATGAATTTATTTTTTGTTTATAAGAACCTGGTGAGTATATGAAGTTTGGAGTCAATCTGACTGTTCAGGAGCTTGTCAAGGACTACCAGAAGTTATCCAGCATCCTGTCCAAAGCACCTGCAAAGGTCAGAGGTCACATCTTAATAGGGCCCAGTACTATACCACTGGTTCAGACTCGTGTCATAAAGTTTTTCAATGAGTAAGTATCTCTCTGATTTTGATGGTGATTTCCTGATTTTTTTTTACTATTTGATAGCAGATAACTATTTTTTCTTTCTATCTTCAAGATTTTTACAATTAGGAGGTAGCAGTGCAGTAACATCACCAAATTTTCATCAGTAAGTAGTTATTGCTCTTAATTTATTTTTCATACGATATATATGTTACATATACATATAGATGTAAACCATATAACCATGAATCAAATCTTTTATCTTTCATTAAACATTTATAGCAATATTCTTTTCAAGCTACAATGATATTGGACATTTATCGATAATAGTGATTTTTGAGTACGGTATATAAAAAGTTTTTAATCAGAAGTATTATGGTTGATTTTGAAATGAATTAATTTTGTCTCTTAGTTACTATATGGACCAAGCGAGTGCCTGCCTTAGAGACTTTATTGACCCAGACATACTTGATGGACTTCAGGTAGAAATTAACCATGGAAATGACGCAACCAAAAAGTTTACCAAAGGGAAACAACTGTGGATAGGGGAGACAAGCTCAGCTTGGGGAGGAGGAGCTAAGGGTCTGTCTGATACTTATGTGGCAGCTTTCATGTAAGGCTCTATTCTCTTTGGTACTGTGCTTAGGGGGAAAACTGAATGCTATATTCTATGTAAATCATTTTTGTCATAATTGTAAATAAAAATACCATAGGTATTTTTGATAAACCTTTTCAAAACTATGCAAATATTTCTTATCAATTTTATGAGTTTGGTTTGTGAACAAATGAATTCTGGGGGAAGTTTGTAATTATATTCTTATAATTAACTTATATCACATTTTTGTGATTCAAGAGTTATTCCCCTTGATGCAGATTCATTAAAAATGTATATTAGTAGATTTTATTAATATTGACTGACTTACATTATTATTAATTCAGTATTGCTTTATTTTTCTCAGGTGGCTGGATAAACTTGGTCTTGCTGCCAAAAGAAATGTTGGTGCTGTTATACGGCAGACATTTTATGGAGCAAATTATGGACTGATAGACCACATAACCAACGAACCAAATCCTGTAAATTTGTTTTTAGTGTGTTTGCATGATATATTTTGATCACTGTAGAAGACCTCTGAATCATGAAACCAGTTTTGAAAGATAAATTTGAAAAAAAACAGACTAATTTTTCATCGTACACAACATGAAATCTTTACTTGCATGTCCATTATAAATAAAAGTAGCATTTTTTATATCTGCAGTATATAAATAATACAATGAAGCTTGAACTGGCCAATATTTACCCTTTAAAACAAATAAAGATGGATATAAGAGTTGTGGTTTACATATATAGCTTATTCACTATTTATTAGGTGGAGAGAATTAAGTTGTGTGATTGTTTTGTAAGATCCAAATAATCATATCAAAATATACGATTCAACTTCAGTATCTTTAACACTGATACACGTATCTTGAATACCATGCATTCAAGTATTTTTATCGTAGATATTAATTAAGATATCTCAAATCTTTGGATATATAATTAAGTTTTACTTAATAATTACTGTTCCATGAGTTTGAGTAATGGATAGTTGACTACATGTATAACAATCAGTACATGTATTACAATAATACTGTGTCCGATTACCAAAAAATCCCAAAACTTATGACATGTATCAACTCTCTGTCAATTTTTGATTCTTTTACAGGACTATTGGTTAACCTTTTTATACAAGAAGATGGTTGGAGATTATGTGTTTGAAACAACCTCATCAGATAAAAACAGGAGAGTGAGATTTTACTGCCACTGTGCTGCAGATGGGTCAGTATTTATAACCTCTCTCCAAGTTATACTAAAAAATCTCGGACATGATTGTTCATTTTTTTAGCTTGATTGTTCAGATATTGAAATGTTTCCTTCAGATTTCCCCCAGGCAGCCTCACTCTGTATGGCATGAATCTGTACAATTCTAATGTGACGGTACAACTGAACCAAGAGTTTGATACCTCTCACATGCTGGTTTATCTGATGTCATCTCTCAACAATGATCTCAAGTCTAAGTAAGTACACACACAAAGTTTAATTCTTATATACAGAATTACATGTAATGTGGAGTTCCGGATTACTGTAAATCACTTTTTATTTGTGAGAACTTTATTTTCGTGTAATTATGGGAGACTGTGTTCTTGTAAGTATTCCTAAAGATGATATAGAGCAAAATCAAATATTTTTTGTCTTGCTAATAAAGAGTCAATGTCTATCTCATGAAAATAAAGAGTCGTAAAAATTTAGTGATCTACAGTATTTTTTAAAACCCACTTTAAAAAGAAAACAGACAGGTTTAGTTATTTAACTCTTATCAAAATGAAATCTGAACTGACTGCAGACCTATGAAATATTTTAGTCATCATTACATGTTCTTACGAATTATCAACCTATACATTTTTTATAGGTCAGTCCGTTTGAATGGGAAAGTTCTAAGAATGTCTAGCGATGACAGTTTCCCTGATATCACACCTGTTATAGTAAGAGGAAACCTAGAGATGCCAGCATATTCATATGTATTTGTTGTTCTACCGAAGGCTAATATTGCTTTGTGTATAAAGTAACAGTAGGAATGTTATATTATGCTCATGATATCAATTTTAACATGGAATCTCAATATACATGTAGGTACTTTATGTTATTTACTTGCAATGATTTATTGATACGTAAGGAAGTCTAAAATATTTAAGGAATCACTGTCTAGTTAGTATATTATGCCAGCATATCAATGCATTTGATAGTTTGTGTATAACATTGGATAATTTGCATAACATGGAATCTCAATATACATGCCCGTACTTTATGTTATTTACTTGCAATGATTTAGTGATACATAAGGAAGTCAAAAATAATCTGTCATGGGATAATGGGATAATAATGGGATAAATTATTACATGTTTCATACTATCATTGATGTCTCTGGCATACTATACTAACTAGACAGTCATTCCTTATATTTCCATTTCATTGTGAAAAAAAAATTGTAGATTGAGACTTTAAAAATGTAGATATAGATTTAAATTACACGAGGACCCCCATGCCAATTTCAATAGTCCTCGCCCACTGACGTCAAACACAGGGATCACTTTGGGCTGCGCCTTTGCGCCATTGGCGCTCAATATTTGTAAATGGCGCACTAAAAAATTAGAAAGGGGTCAGTCTGGCGCATGTCTTACAGATATGGCGCTATAAGATGCAAAACTGTGGGTCAAAACTCTTATCTTGGTGCATTTTAGGACCGTTTTTAAGCTGACCGATTGTATTCATGTCGTATCTGAGCATACTGTTACTTCGTTCAATCAGACTCTTTGTAGTCGCGTATGTTATTTACACCAGCAGAGCGTCTGGGTGATCAAGACTAAAATCGGAGTTGTACATGGAATATTTCCTTCGTTAAGATTACGCTACTATAGAAATTTTTTACCGAATACTGAGTCAATTATATTTATTAAAATTTTATGTAATGATTTAAATAATAAACATATGAAAGTAATACTCCAGTAAGTAATTTGTCCTAATAATATTTCTTAAAACTTTGATTATTTATTTCGAAACAGAACAAGTACAAGTTACTCATTGTGTATCCAGACACTTGCCCGAAATGCCTCCAAAGAGAGGATAGGGCCCAACTGACCCAAAACAACGAAAGTTTTCGTTTGTTTTACAATTAAAAGGACGGAAACTTTTTAATTCCCAGACTCGGCAGAGGTCTCTGATTAAGAAGAACAGTCCAAGACGTTGACTCCTGATGTCAACGGCAACGATGGTCGTCATTTCCAGTCCAAGTGGCTAACTTTGCATCCGTGGTTGGAATTTGATCAGATGGGACTAAAATGTTTTGCAAACAAATAAAAATTTTCTCATTTAAGTTTTTTGCCTATTTTGCTCCGAGTTCTTTGCATACAAAACCAGTCCCTACCTTTTGAACCAAATTTAATCTGCAACTGCCCCAGGTATATTCAGTATAGAGAAATGTGCATGTAAGTTTGCATCCTTTATAGTTTAGCTCTTCAACAACCTTCGATAACTAAATCAATAAAATCCAAGGGGCGAGGAATTAACTCTCCAATATGACATTTTTCAGTACTGAGATGAAATTTAAAAAAAAAATATTTTTTATTTATAATATTATTCATTTTATTAAAAAAAAAAAATTAAATTGGTTGTGTCAGAAATGGCATTTAAAACCCCTCAAAGACCCATCATATTTACTTGAAATTCATCACAAAATAGCATGGAAAATCATTTTTGGTTGCCTCCCTGGAAACCGGGGCGTTCCCCTGTTACTGAATGGGGCGCGGCCCCCATACCCCCGGCGTATGGCCCATGGATTTTAATGTTGATGGGCCAATGGCCCATCAACATTAAAATCCAGAGTGATCCCTGCAAACACCAAGGCAGCCGCACGAGATTTACATGCATATCTGGCCTCCTTACATGTAGCATCAGACACAGAGACAGATGCACACGAGATATGCATGTATATTAGGCCTCCTTAGCTCCTGAGCTATCGACCTGCGTAATTTACATTCCGTTAAAATTATGATGAAATTAACTCTGCTAACTTTCAAAGAGTTATCACAGAGAAAAAAATCAGAAATTGAAATATAAGTAAATTAAAACTGTAAAATGTTAATTTATCAATTTTGAATATGTATTTTCATGATATATATTAATATTTTTTGAAAACTTTTACTATTCATTTTTATATTCCTTTTTTAAAATGTTATTTGGAAAGAAAATACATGTATTTATACCAATTTACCTTTCTACTTTTACATACTAAGCAAATTATTTATAAATTAAGTTTATCCTTTTGTGTAAGATATATGCATAATTTAATTATTATATTTATGATGTCACTTGATTTTTAGCTCTACTGGTCAGAGACCAGAGCTTATGCGATAGTAAGGCGTCCGTCGTCCGTCCGTCTGTCTGTCTGTCTGTCTAGCTGTCTGTCTGTCCGTATGTCTGTAAACAATTTTTCAAAAATACTACTCCTCCTACAGTTTTGGTCTGATTTTAATATAACTTGGCACACAAGTAGACTACACTAAGATACATAAAATAGTGCATCGATTTTTGATTTCGATGAATGTTGTTGCCATGGTTACTAAAAATAGAATTTTCTGTGAAATTCCTTTAAAACGCTACTCCTTCTACAGATTTGGTCTGATTACAATATAACTTGGCAAACAAGTAGACTACACTAAGATACATAAAATAGTGCATCGGTTTTTGATTTCGATGAACGATGTTGCCATGGTAACTAAAAATAGAATTTTCTGTGAAATTCCTTTAAAACGCTACTCCTTCTACAATTTTGGTCTGATTTCAATATAACTTGGCACACAAGTAGACTACACTAAGATACATTGAAATGTGCATCGGTTTTTGATTTCAATTAACGGTGTAGCCATGGTTACTAAAAATAGAATTTTCTGTGAAATTCCTTTAAAACGCTACTCCTTCTACAGTTTTGATCTGATTTCAAAATAAGTTGGCACACAAGTAGACTACACTAAGATACATAAAATAGTGCGTAGGTTTTTGATTTTGATGAACGGTGTTGCCATGGTAACTAAAAATATATTTTTCTGTGAAATTCCTTTAAAACGCTACTCCTTCAACAATTTTTGTCTGATTTCAATATTACTTGGCACACAAGTAGACTACACTAAGATACATGGAATAGTGCATCGGTTTTTGATTTGGGTGATCGATGTTGCCATGGTTACTAAAAATAGAATTTTCTGTGAAATTCCTTTAAAACGCTACTCCTTCTACAGTTTTGATCTGATTTCAATATAACTTGGCACACAAGTAGACTACACTAAGATACATAAAATAGTGCGTAGGTTTTTGATTTTGATGAACGGTGTTGCCATGGTAACTAAAAATATATTTTTCTGTGAAATTCCTTTAAAACGCTACTCCTTCAACAATTTTTGTCTGATTTCAATATTACTTGGCACACAAGTAGACTACACTAAGATACATGGAATAGTGCATCGGTTTTTGATTTGGGTGATCGATGTTGCCATGGTTACTAAAAATAGAATTTTCTGTGAAATTCCTTTAAAACGCTACTCCTTCTACAGTTTTGGTCTGATTTCAAAATAAGTTGGCACACAAGTAGACTACACAAAGATACATAAAATAGTGCAATGGTTTTTGATAAGTACAAACCAGTAGAGCTACAGTCTCGACAGAGACTTCTGGTTAGCTCTACTGGTCAGAGACCAGAAGAGCTTATGTGATAGTAATGCGTCCGGCGTCCGTCCGTCTGTCTGTCTAGCTGTCTAGCTGTCCGTCTGTCTGTAAATAATTTTTCAAAAACGCTACTCCTCCTACAATTTTAGTCTGATTTCAATATAACTTGGCACACAAGTAGACTACACTAAGATACATAGAATAGTGCATTGGTTTTTAATTTCGATGAGCGGTGTTGCCATGGTTACTAAAAATAGAATTTTCTGTGAAATTTCTTAAAAACGCTACTCCTTCTACAGTTTTGGTCTGATTTCAATATAACTTGGCACACAAGTAGACTACACTAAGATACATAGAATAGTGCATCGGTTTTTGATTTCGATGAACGGTGTTGCCATGGTTACTAAAAATAGAATTTTCTGTGAAATTCCTTTAAAACGCTACTCCTTCTACAGTTTTGGTCTGATTTCAATATAACTTGGCACACAAGTAGACTACACTAATATAGATAGAATAGTGCATCGGTTTTTGATTTCGATGAACGGTGTTGCCATGGTTACTAAAAATAGAATTTTCTGTGAAATTCCTTTAAAACGCTACTTCTTCTACAGTTTTTGTTTGATTTCAAAATAAGTTGGCACACAAGTAGACTACACAAAGATACATAAAATAGTGCAATGGTTTTTTGATAAGTACAAACCAGTAGAGCTACAGTGTCGACAGAGACGTCTGGTTTAATTGTGCAATCAATTTGACTTTGAGGCCATATTTTCCCCATTTATTATTTTAAATGCCAATCTTACATGTACATGTATATTTGCTTATTTGACAGGAATAAATGTCATATGCTTTCTTGTCAGAGTCAAAGTGTTTTCTAGGACCATCAAAATGCCACACTACATCTTGCCCAAAAATCAGTTTCCAAAATTATAAAATTATTTCACATGGTTACCATTGTAATCAATTATTGAAAAAGAGGTTTCAACAGTGCTGATGCCTCTCAAATGATAAATTGATTACGTCTGTCAGCCTAGTAAGTTGTCAGCAATGTTTAAGGCATCCATCCTTGGCCAATCTTTTGGTTGCCTCAAATTTCCGGTACAATCTTGCAATTTAGTCGAATAAACAATATGTACGTAGTCATCTGATGTTTATTGAATGTTGTGGCCGCCAAAACAAGTTTATGTTTCTTAATCTTTTTGCAACATTTTTTTTTTTACAAAAAGAAGCAACTGAATTATTCTCAACATCATTAGAAATGCCTCCCTCAGACACCAATTACATTAAAACTTTCGTAAATTTCTTTCAAAATCTTTCGCTTCAGTTGATATTGTTTTTATTTTATATGATCAAAGTCCAATTAAGAAATGCATTTTCTTAATTTTAGCAATTTCGTATAACTTTTACGCCCAACAGAGGTTTTAATTTGGTCAATCGAACATAAATAAAATGAATACATAAAAAAAATTAAATGTCAACTTTATAAACTTTCCCTTTTAGCCTTTCTCAG